CGGAGGGGGGGGGCCCCTCCTCCGCGCGGGGCCCGAGGAGGGTTTCCCCGCGCCCCATTTGGGAAACCCCCGAAAGTGGGGGTTTTTTTGAGCCCAAGGGGGCCCAAGGCCTTTTTCCGAGGATAAAAAAAAAAGGGGCCGGCTTGTGCAACCCCCGCGAATAGGGCAAAAATTTTTTTCCCAGAGGCACACACACATGGTTGGGGCCCCCCCCCCCCTCCCCACAGGGAAAAGTCCCCCCCGTTCGCCCCCCGAGAGTCCCCCTCGCCCCCCAGAGCCCCCCCCCCCCCCCGGGGCGGCGGCCAAGTGGGGCGGCGGCAGACGGCCTTGGTGAGAGCGGCTCGGACAAAAAGAATTCAAAAAGCCTCCCATCCACTTTGACGTGTCCGTTCGCTTGACCGCGCTTTTTCTATGTGGTGAGACCGGTCTCTCGCTTCTCTTTTTGATTTTGTGCTTCGACCTCGTCGAGCGGGCGTGTCCTACGGGCTCCAGGCCCCAAATGACGTGTGAGTGTTAGAGTTGTTTGTTTTGTCCTACGTGAAACTGAAGCCAAGATGTCACGGAAGAGGGGGGGGGGGGTTGACAGTCCTCCGTGGTGACTTGGGGCGATTGGAGCCGCGAATGGAGCTCGCACCGAGGCGCATGTAACGACCCCCGGGGGTCCCGATAATCGAATTGAGGAGGGCGGGCGGTCCCATTGCGTGTAACGAACTCTCTGAACGCCACACGACGAGTCGTGTGAGGGCCCGGTGCGGGCCCTGTCGTTCATCGATCGTCTCGCCCTCCCTCGCTGGAGTGCTCATTGGGGGGGGTCATAACAAACACGGTACAGGATCGAGGTGCACGCTGCCGAGGCAGTGTCGTCCCCCCTCTCCCCGACGGCGATGGCGGTGTGACCGATCGAGCTACAAGAGGAGCTTGTTCAGCACATATCAGCAGGATCCGGGTTAGACTGGCGCACTACCTCACTGGGCCTGAGACCGCCGTGCGCTTCCCGTCACCGTCTCGGGTTTGTGTGGGATCGAACCACTCCGGGATGGGCGAGCCCTATCTTGTAATACCACACACGCGCCTATACATCAGTGTAGTCTCATCATCGAGTGATTGCTGGCCTGTGGCGTATGACCTCGCGCGGATATCACCAACGACGAGCATGCGAAGATAGGGAACAATATCTTGTACAGCCCGCTGTGCTCCCCGCTGTGCCACGGCGTATGATGGGCTGCGAGAGCCGTATCTTCCCCCCTTGAAGCAGAGGCGCCGCGAGGCACGAGAGGCGTAGAAGAGAGGCTGGCGTGCCCCGCACCTCCCGGTTGGCAGTAGGAGGGCCCGCCGGTGAGACCACTGATTTTGATGCCGACCATACTCGAGTAATTCTCGCCACTGGAACGCATGCTACTTACAGCTGTTGTCTGTACAGAGATGCCAGCACCCCCC